GAGTTCAAAATATTTGAATAGTTTTCTTTAAAAAAGAATTTTTAATAGTAGGTATCTCTTTTTTTTGTCTCCTAGAAAAGCGTCCCCCCTTAAAGTATCGCTCTGAATCAAGAATTATTTAAATAAATAATAGCGTTATTACTTTTTACCTATCTATAATGACTTACAAAACTAAATACATAACGCTGTTACTTTATACATTCAAGAAGTTACTTCTACGATTCTAACTTCTAATGTCCTACTTCATAACATGTCGTGCGCGATGGTAAAATTCATATTATCTTCATCGAAGAACGAATTGTATAAGAGAAACAGGAAGGCAAAATTGTTCGAAAGTACTCTTCGAAACTCTGTAATGGAAAGATTTCTGTATTTTTACTATCTTCATTCAATGCTTCAATATGATACATTTTTTGCTTCATCAAAGAGAGCAACTTCCAAGCTTTCTCTTCATCCTTCTTCGCCGATATAAGTTCTTTTGCGATTAAATCGGCGGGAACACGGGGCATGGTTACGTTCTTACTCGTGTAACTTCCTTACAGATTTCTTGTACACTTGGATTCCGCACGGTATACGATGTCCGTTTCCAGCTATTCCCGCCAAGTTTCAAGTTTCATTTTGGAAAGTTTCTGCTGACGCATATGCTCGGATTTACTTGTGTAGGCGTGCGAGTTGAAATCGAAGGTTAAGGGTTGACAAAGTTTAGGACAGTTTGGGCAATAGAATTCTCAGTAACGTGCACTTTATAGCGTATATAGAATTAACACGAAGAATTTAAAGTTTAAAGAAAAACACTTACAATCTGGTTTGCGTAAAATTTTTTCCATCTGCATTATTACACATCTAAATTGAATTGCAAATCTGAACGTTTAACAGCCTTTTTATTGTCATGTAAAATCCGAAAATTTGAATAAGTCTTGAGAATATTGTTATCAACGCTTTGTTTCGCTTTTTTGAATATTATTTACTCACTAAACAAACAGAATATTTTATCTGTATTAGTAAAGATTATTAAATAATGTGTACTGTAAAGCGTAAATAATTATAACAAGTACATATATATTGTAAGTAGTGTATAATATAAGAAATAACAAAATCTCGCATTGGTATTAATCAAAAGCAGCTGGTTCAACAAAATGCAGAACACGAGTATGATTTTATTCTTTATTCGAGCGCACACATTCGCATATTTGCATGAAAAATAACGCAGCGTATAATGGAGTTTACATAAAAGAGTAAACATTTAATAAAAATATTTTACTGCCAACAGTAGAAGAGAAATATGCGTTTATTTGACCGTTATAACAATAGACGAATCGATGATATAAATTTTTTAATACTTACTGTTGCGTCTGTGTTAGAATTACATAATTTATTCGTGTTACCGACGATAAACTATGTACACTCATAAAAATTCTTATTGGTATGCGCATAATTCTCATTTATATTCGAACACCGAAGTAACAATACCTTACCGATAGCTGTAAAAGATTGAGCACCAAGTTTTTCTTGGTTTTGCATGGTTATTTTTATGTCATTATTTTCACGTGTTACGTGTTTTTCTTTTATATATTCTGATTTTTCGTAGAACAATATGACATGTTGAATTATATTTACGTTGAATTTTGTTGGACATTTTACACTACCATTAATTTAATCGGTCGTTAACATCTTTTTCTAGTCAGTTGCTTTGGACTTTAATCATTCAGTTCACTTCTATCGCACTTTTAAATCAAATCTGCAATTACCTAACGATATTATTCTTAGTTTATAAAATTGATTTACCGCATGAATTAACGCTCATGAGTAATACTCGCATTGGTATTTGATTGCAGAGCTTTCGATGCGTTTGTATATTTAATAACGTTTACTCGTATTGTCGTAATGCCAGAAAATTGAGTCACTCGATGAATTTTCAATATTTAATCGCACCGTCGCATTGATTAAATCGGGAATAATACGGCTTTTTAATTTTTTTTACACAAGATGCTAATCTATTGTTTCTGGAATTATCGATTTTTATGTCACTTGCAATGAGTCTGGATAACATTTTTTCCGTCAACGCGATAAAAGTCAGCTTCGATTACTTTCGAATCTTATAAAGTAACTTTCACGATATTGTTACGCGCAGCATAAAATGCGATGTTAACGTCGTCGTTTTGAAAGGTAAAGTACGCGCACCATGATTTTTCGCGACGATAAGCATCTACAAAAGGAGAGGCCCATGGAGATTTAAAGAAAAAAATATTGTATTCTATACACGTCAGCACCACGCTATTAAACTTTTATGTTTGCTGGAAAATGATGTTTCCCTTTTTCTTTTACTATAGAGTAGTAAAATCTACACAAGGGTACTCCAAGAAATAATTATGTTTTCTCTATAGTAAAAGTATCAATAGATTTTTCGGAGTTACGGAAATGCATTGAAAATAAAATAAGCAGCGCTATATGTAGATAAATACATAATAGAATTGAACTTGATGATTTAATTTACAAAAACAATTTGTTTTAATAATAATTACTTAAAAATTTAGTTGTCAAAATATCTAAAATAAAAATTAAACACACATGCGCGCTTGCAATCCCGCGTTATTGAATATTAAAAAGAAACAAAATGATAATGAGTCAGATAACGTTTATATGTTTATATTTATGTTTAATATCCATATATGTCATAATGTAACATAATGTAAATCTATTTCAATCTAAGCATCGTCCATATTAACGTATATTACATACATTTATGGTAAATTATAAATTTTGAGTTAAATTTAATAAATTTCTTGAGAGTAAATTATGTAATCTCATCGTTTTATTCAAATTAATGACATATTGGATAGAAACAGTGTGGCAACTTATAGAAATGCTTAGAAATAACTCAAGTTGGGTATAATTAATCATTCATAATAACATTATGAATTTACCAGTGCGATTTCTCAAAAATAATATGTGTCTGCAATAAATTCAACTATTTTTCCCACGACATTTAATAAACATTTTGCAATTATTATTGCTCCTGCTGTGTACAGTCGGATCGCAGTGCATCATCTAAGATAATGGTATACGCTAAGCTGCTCATTATAATTATAATTGTATACGCAGGGTACCGGTAATAGCAACGATACGTAATATCCGATTTGGTAACCATAATTACCTCTGCGGTTACGATATTCACTTGTCGCGCTTTCGGGGTGCACCTCCCGTATCTGGTATGCGGACATTAATATAGTTGAGTACGAAATCGTAACCGCGCTCACGTTCACGAGCCCCTGTTATTATCACTTAGCTATCACGCGTCGGTAGAAGCGGGCGATTGTTGATGCCGATATATTTGATTACACAACTATAACTACTGTTATGTTTAGCGTACCGTTCTCATACGCCTGGAGTTTGTACGCGGCGCGATAATTGCTAATGATACGCTTGTGTAGCAAACTTTAAACACCGTCGCGTAAAACGCCACGGCGTAGAGAGAACGACGATAACTGCCACCACGATTAATCTTGAAGCTCCCCGCTGCGCTGAAAATAATACCGTCGTCGTTTTATTTAATTTAATGTCACCGATTATTTCGGCTCTGCTGCTTCCACAACGTTTGCAACTTTTGCAGAATTTATTTATGTTTGTTTCAGATAACAATATACATATATATGTCATATACATAGTATTTATGTTTTCGTCGACTCGCACACATCGCGAGACTAATTATTTTATATCACCTTCAAATTATTATTACAAATAAAATGTTTAGTTATTAAAATTTGATTACATATTAAAGTTAGAGAATTACCAAAATATTAAGGTTAAATTTTAATTTCAATTAACTTTTTCATTTTTTCATAAGAGGGAAACACAGAATTTTAAATGAATGTAACAGAATTTATATTTCAAAAATGCATACGTCAGTTTTAATATAAAAGATTTAATTAACGTTTAGATTTAATACGATAATATTAAGATTCAATACGAAAAATTTATTTCATATAAAAAATTAAAAAATTGTTAAATAGTATATTTTTAGATTTTTTTATTAAAGAAAAATACATTTTTAAGAATTTGTCATTAAGATGTGTATCATTTATTTTAAAAAACGCTGTATACGTACAATGCTTTTCTGATCATCATATACAAATTTTCATGGCATTAAAGGTGTATAATAAAAATTTTTTTTAGTATTTGTTTTCTTGTTTGAAAAGCCCAGACATATTTAGTCTGCGATAAGCCAAATTCGTTGTAAGCAGTAACCCAACTATGGCCCTAACGTTTCTCTCTCGCCAGCGAAATCTGCATATATCCGACGTGAAACTCTGCGATGACTATTGACGATGATGCGACTGATTGTGGTACTATAACCGTTATCACACAGAACATTAATGTACGTTAACACACAGCTTCAACGACCACGGTTTCTGGTAGCAGAGCTCGTCTGCCTATAGCCTGACACTCACTACTACCGTGGATCGCCACGATGCCTTACCTGCTGTCAGCATTATCGCGTTCCATTACTACTGGGCGCCGGTCGCAGACTACGGCTTGCCAGTACTACTGATACCGAGGCGCGGGGTTCAATACGGAACTGTAACTGCTTGTAATGTTCGTTGACGTTTCTATTGGCGAAATCGGGGAAATCTATTGACCCATAGCGCGCGAAGGGCCGCCAGATAACAATCATTGTCTTGTACAGCTTAAAGGGAATTGCTACGAGACGTTCTTATCACAATTTTCATGCTCCATGAATCTTTCTAATATTTTAGCAATAAAGTCGTCAAGATTACACTTTCAGAGAATGCATTCGAAAATATTGTTTCTATAATATAGAAAATGAATGTACTTGACAGTGGAATGATTTATTGAGATTTTCGAGCGACAAGAGCTTTCTCTAGTATCATTCTAGTGTCTCGAAAAACCAATAAATCTATTTCTGAGTAACCAGAAACAGTCGAAGTAGAATAACGCTTTCTACACTCGACGCTCATCCATTTTTCTGTTTTCTTTTTCAGAACCTGAAGAATCAGATCATGACGACAAACGTTTGGGTGGAACAAGTAAGTAAAATAATGTTTTATTATCCTAGCTTTTTATGTATATTAGACTCAAATTAGTGCGAAGTATATAAACGTATATTTTTTAATATAATTTTACTATTACAATATTATTGATAAGAAAAGAAAAAAAAAATTTAAAAAAAAAATTTTTTTTTTAAAACTTAATTGCTAAACTAAATTAAAAATTAGACAGGAATTCTCTGCATAATATAATTTTAGCCTATTAAATATATTGAAAGAATTATATTTAACATTTCTAAAGGGATTATATGTATAAATATAAGATTATTTAATTACGTCAATTAAAAGCAGTATTTTACAATGCTGTCTTTAATTTTTATAGTTAATTGATATTTGAATGAGAACTAGAATTGAGTGTGATTTATAGTTATATTCATTTGATTATTAATTGTTATTGCATTAATAGAAGCATTATCGCTATTAATGAAATCTATATTATAACGCCATTAATGAAATCTGTATTATTGTAGTATGTCTCGATTAGTAATCAATTGGAGCTTATCGCATTTTATTAATTAATAATTAATTTGTGACATCTGATAAAATATGTAAGAGATATGTGTCCTTTCGTGAATTATGCAGCTTTTATTTGATAATGTATAATATTATTGATACTCATTATTGAGATGTTTTCTTACATATGTAAGTATTTCATGATAATCAAGCGCGATATTGTTCCTAAATGTGAAACTTCAAATATATATAATATTTTTTGTGTGTACGTATCTCTTAAATAAATGCATGAGGAATTTTCTCTTTTTGGGAAGATTAAAATAAATATGAAATGCAATTGCCAAAAATTAAAAATATATTTTTTAATTTAAAAAATACATTTTACGAGTATATAGAATATTATGTTAGGATGCAATTAATAAGGATTGAAATTTCAATTACATATTTTTCATATCTTCTTAATTTTTTTCTTTATTATGAGTTTTATAAGTTTTTTGAAATTTTCAAAAATTTTATATAGAGTGTGGGAAATATATAATTATTTTAATAACTTTTTATACAAAAATAAACATTTTTTAAATGAATTACTTAAAGATATAATTACATCTTTAATTTTTATTAAAAAATTGAGATTTTGTGGAACGAGATACGAGATTTACTACTAAATTATAGTCAAATTTCATTCATGCATGACGAATGAGGCGATATCGGACAAGCTGCTTAAAGATTGCAAATGCCGAAATGTTGAAATTCGGTTTCCATTTTCGCGAGTGTATACGCTGCCGTATTGCTTTGATTGTCAGGATCTACTCTTTCGACGTAAGGCGGTGGTTTGGAATTTCAAAGCAGGCGAATTTCATTCGCGCTTGTCGACGACGAAATTCGAATCGCCGGATAGCAGTTGGCCTTTATTGGTATAATACTCTCTTGTGTCCTCGTGAGAAGAACAGCTCCGTGACACGACTATTTCTCGACCATTTGTCTTGCGAATTTATTGGTCGTAACTACCTTTGCTCTTTTTAAAGATTGCATTCTTTGCTTTTTGCACTATCATTCCCCGTCATTGACGATCCAGGAGCAACGTTTGAAAGTCGCTACTTTGACAATTAATTGTGACATATTTCAGTAGAATTGATCTTTTTATTCCATTTTCTACAGACGCTATTCTTTTATTCATAATAATTTTAATTTTTAAATACGTACTATGTCTGAAGATATTTTCTTATGTATACAAAATTGAAAATACTATACATACGAAAATTTGTGAAGATATTTTCTTATCACCAAAAGATTTGTCTATTGAGGAAATATCTGTGGGACGACTTTCTCGAAAAATTCCACTTTTAAGATAAATTGTATAAGTAGGGATATATAAAATTCAGGTAAAAAACAATATATAAAATAACACTTTTTTTCTGTTTATTATTTTAATTTTATTAAAATAATAAATTAAATTAAATTTGTTGAAGTAATAAGTGAAAGCTTTTAAAGGCATTTATAATTTATTGATTTATTTCGTCAAAGTTTATTGTTTTTCTTATACTAGCACATTCCTTGCGCGCGCTACGCGCGCGATGGTCCATTCTACTCTTTTTAAATATTATGAATTATGTGTCTTTGAAACTTGTTTTGAAATCAACTCCTCTAATTCCTACTAATACAAAATTTCCCTGAAATTTGAAAACCTTTAGAATTTCATTATTGTTTTCGATCGCCACATTAATTCTACCATTTTGATAAACAATATTTAGTTTATTTTTTTATTCACCGTTTATGTCGAAAAATTCGACCCACAGTGTAGTTGTGCTGGTTCGCGTACAAGAGTAAAATACATTAAAGCAATCAATTGCCGGGATCATTTTGGTCTCAAAATGTTTCTAGAATTATTTGCTCTAAGAATGTTCACAACGAACTTTTTGCTCATCGTTTACATCGAATAATTCGATCCACAGTGTGACTGTACTGGGTCGCGTACAAGAGTAAAGTACATTAAAGCAATCAATTGCCGGGACCATTTTGGTCTCAAAATGTTTCTAGAATTATTTGCTCTAAGAATATCCAGAATCCGATTTTTTTGCTCATCGTTTACGTCGAAAAATTCGACCCACAGTGTGGCTGTGCTGACTCGCGTACAAGAGTAAAGTACATTAAAGCAATCAATTACCGGGATCATGTTGGTCTCAAAATGTTTCTAGAATTATTTGCTCTAAGAATATCCAGAATCCGATTTTTTTGCTCATCGTTTACGTCGAAGGATTCGATCCACAGTGTGGCTGTGCTGACTTAAGACTAAAATTGGCACAGCCACAAAGGAAAATAGCAGCAAATGGAAAATCAAGTACATATTTTTGAAGGGCTTTTTTTGCTAATTTAAATTCTACTTCAAAAATACTAAAACCAAAATCCCCCTTATATTCCATCCGCCAGATTAACGAAAACTGATTTTAGAAAACTGAATCGAAACGCCATTTTGAACTTTCAATTTTTAAATACGGATTCGTAACGAACGTCCCCAAAAACCACCTGTAACCAAATTTCATCAAAATCGAAGAATCTGAAGAATTTCCGTAACATTTCCGTCTGCCATATTGGATCAACTATTTCAAACTTTCAATTTTTTAGTAAAGATTTGTATCAAACGCCCCCTAAATCACCAATATACTAAATTTCATCAAAATTGAAAAATCTTTAGGATTTCCGTAACATTTCCGTCCGCCATATTAGATCAGCTATTTCAATCTTTTAATTTTTGAGTACGGATTCGTAACGAACGCCCCCTAAATCATCAATAAACCTAATTTCACCAAACAATCTTTATGATAATGTGATAATGATATTACCAATATTCGCATTTAGGGGTGCCAACTTCACAGAGCTGCATTGTGAAGTTGGCACCCCTAAATGCGAATATTGGTAAAATCATTATTGCATTCGTTTGACCACTGTTTGTCCACGTTTTTCCACCCATTATTTTCGTTTGTCCACCCTATGCTTATTATATTTTTCGTAATAGTGTAAAATAACCACTTGGGGGTGTTACAATTTTTTTTGTGTATAACTTTTTTTTGGAGGGTGGACCAGTGAAAATAACGGATGGACAAACGTGGACAAACAGTGGACAAACGAATGTAATAATAATATTACCAATATTCGCATTTACAGATTCCAACTTTACAGACCTGCTTTGTGAAGTTGGCACCTTAAATGCGAATATTGGTAAAATCATTATTGCATTCGTTTGTCCACTGTTTGTCTACGTTTGTCCACCCGTTATTTTCATTTGTCCACCCTCCAAAAAAAAGTTATGCATAAAAAAAAATTATAACATCCCCAAGTGATTATTTTACATTATTACGAAAAATATAATAAAAATTTTTTTTGTGTATAACCTTTTTTTGCGGGGTGGACCAAAGAAAATAACGGATGGACAAACGTGGACAAACAGTGGACAAACGAATGCAATAATGATATTACCAATATTCGCATTTAGGGGTGCCAACTTTACAGAGCGCTACGCGCGCGATTCTTTTTTTTTTGAACGGCCATATAATTTTCTCTTACAAAATTTACACCAAAGCATAATCGATTAAGCTTTAAATTATAATTACATTTCTTTGCGTCTTATTAAATTCGTCATATTCGGAAAATCTTATTGATTTCCGCAACATTTCCGTCTGCCATATTGAATTTAAAAATTTGGAACACGGAATCAAAATCAGCGTTCGCGTAAGCCCCCTTAATCCAAATTTCGCCGAAATCGGAAAACCTTTAAGATTTTCGCATCTTTTCCGTCCGCCATATTGGATAAGTCTTTTTTAATTATTATAATTTTTACCATGTTTTTAAAAGAGCGTCCCCGAAAATTCCTTGTTACCAAAATTCACCATTTTCGGATTACTTTAACTGCCTCAACGAATAGAGGCTTCAAAAAAGCGTGACACGCCAATCTTAAGATATGATGATTAT